AGAAATTTCAAATAGTTAATTTGATACTAATATCGATATATTATTGTCAAAATTTTATGATATCTTCAAACATATATTTTATTCAAAAAAAAACATCATCGCTTTCTCAAAATCACATAAAGCMATATTATAACATCGACTAAGATAAAGAATAAAATAAAATATTAAAATCACGATGTATCTCGCTGCATTGTGCAAGTACGCTTCTAATATATATATATATATATATATATATATATATATATATATAAAATGCAAATTGAGAAAAATTGTTGAATGTGATATACTTAATATTTAAGAAGTATGAATAATATATACCAAATGATGATGAAAAAAGAACTATATGAGTAGAAAAAAACAACATATTCAACATTAGAAAAATATTTTGATTTCCAAAGTATCAATTCGATCAACCCGTATGGTTTAAATTAGGTTGAGATTTTTCAAACTACAAGCATTAAGTTGAATTGTTCAAATGTTTTCAACTCAATCAAACTAAACAATGAGCACCTCTAATGGTAAGATAATATTTTTTAGGCCATTATAAGAGAATGAATTGGAATACGATTTATTGGGCTAATTATCTCAACTGGGCACAAAAAAATGTAATTCATGACGCTTATTATTACCTGATGCCTCCTGGACTGTATTACTATTCTTTATGCCAACAACTTAGATTTCATGAAGAATGACTTGGGCCTCTACTTTGAAGTGGACTCATTCCAAAAACTATAGGGCCTTGGGGTTCTTTAAAATGTGATTTTTATTTTCCAATGTTGGGTATGGGTATAAGCCTTTGTTAATTGTTTTTTCCAAATGATGCTTAATTATCTTTGTAAAAATGGGTATGCCCATTTCTTTCATGTAATTTCCTTTTTTATTGAATAAAATTTTCCCGATGGTTCCATCCCTTTTTACCCAAAAAAAATAACCAATCACAATAAATACATTGGTGAATATATGTCTTTCTTTTAGAGTTGTTCATATAAAAATAATAAATATTTTTTAACAGAAAAATAGATTTGGATATAAACAAAAATCAGTTATGGAACATGCACTTATTCATATCCCTTTTAATTTATTTTAGACTTATCTCATAAATATTTTTTTTAAGTTTATTTCTAACAAAAAACATCAAAACCAATTTATAAATTATAAATTTAATGACAACCTTATGAATTTAATAATTTTTTTATTGAAATGTTTAGAAATCGTTTATTAGATACTTATCTTGATAAGTGTTACCAAAATATAGACAGACTACAACAGGTTGGTGGTGGAAATAAGCCATACAATGTCAAAAAAGGAAAGATGTAAAAAAGGAAAGGGTGGGGCTATAACGTGGTAATTCGGACTAAAAGGCACCATTTTATATAAAATCCTCATGAAATTCTATTAAGGCACCATGTGCAGTGCAGTGGCCAAAGCATGGTAATTCGGACCTATTAAGCACCATGTGCAGTGGCCAAAGCATGCTTCTAAAGGGGTGTCTTTCACTAAGGGTGGYTGGACCAAGTTAGATAAAATCCTCATGGAATTCTATTAAGTATCACATGACAGTTCCAGTTTTGCCTGGTAATCAATAATGACTATATAACAACTTCATACACTATACAAAAAGGTACAAACTATACAAAAAGGGTCAAGAGCTGAGTGGTCCAGTTGCATACAAGCTATACAAAAAGGTACGTGTGCTTATATATACATAGAGAGAGGTTTAGGAAAACTCAAAAAAATGAAAAATTAACACCCTAATAACTAAGCAGTCAGTCAGATAATTCATGTTTTACCTAAGCAGGGAACGTAGATTCACCTTTACACTTCTTCTCCTCCCAAGCAGTTGGATCAATGTTAGAACCACCAAAACTTGTTGCCTACACAAACAATAACATACATGGCTTCAACCATCATCAAGGCCAATCAACAATTGTTAATTTTAAGCTTGAGTTCCATTAAAGCAAAGATGTAAAAAAGGAAGGGTGGGCCAATAAGTTTCTGAAGCATGCAGTGAATGGGAAAACTGATCAATGGAGATTAAGTAAATGTGGATGCAATCTATTAAGCGCATTGCAAACTCGAGTACAAAGTGTAATGAAAAAACAAGTATTTTCTAACATGACAGCCCTCAAGTAGCTGTATTATAGTGTTTTCCATGTCATACATGATGCAAATATTTCATACAGAAGCTGAGTTCTCCAATTTTGGGTATATCAGATCAGAAGGGTCCAATGTTGAACATAAACATGTGATAATTGTTAGTATTTATTTTAAATTTTATGTTCTGATTATTSTAGGCTAAATTAGTTGTTTTGTTAAGATAACTATTGGTAATTTTATTATATATTGGTTGTAATTCCATGTGAAGTGATTGGTTTTCTAGCTTTTGATAAAATATTTTTCCTTCTGTTGACTGAATTAACATCTGTGCATGAAATCTTTATCCCTATAATGTATCCCTGGAGGTCCTTGAGTTTCTCGGGTGTGAAGTTTTGGATTTGGCCTCTAATTGTATATCTGCAGGCTTCATACATCATCTCCCTTGTGCACTTGTATAAATG